TTTTGAAACTTCATAATCTTCACAGTGTTTTTGCTGTGAAGGCTCAATATATATATATATATATATATATATATATATATATATATAGAGTTAGTTTTTGTGAAACTCATAAAATCATATTTTTATTTTTGAAACTTCATAATCTTCACAGTGTTTTTGCTGTGAAGGTTCAGATTTTCTTACCTTCATAATGTTTTGCTGTGAAATTTCAAGTGTAAAAATGTGGTCTCATGGATATCACGAAAACATGTTAGTCTCACGTGAATGGAACCTTATATGTGTGACTGTTTTTTACAATTTCAGCATCATCATTCATATTTCACAAAGGCTATGTTTGGGAAACAAGCTGATAAGCTAGCTGATGCACAAATGATGTTTATAAAAACTCGCTAATAAGTTAGATTAAACTGCAAAATGACCAAAACTAATCAATTACAACATTTTGTAATATAATTAAAACAAACCCATAATAGTATAATATCTTAATTAATACAATCAATATAGCAAAATAATTAAATAATTAATAATTAATATAGCCTTTAAAATTAATAATTAATATTAGTTTATAATGTATAATTAAAATTAATTAATAATTTTCAATTAATAATCAATATTTTATTATATTAACTTTGAGCAGATTGCATAAAATGTAACCTATTTTGATGTGATTCTGATTCCGGATAACATAGTTTCAAAACCTTCATTTTAATACATGACATGTGGATATCTCAAACATTTAAGTACCCTATTTCTTTAAATTGAGTGGTATTTTTATCTTTTTATTATTTCTTTAATTTTCTTTTAAAAATAATATATTAAACTTCTATTATACAATTGCTCAAAATCAAAAGCATTGGTAAGTGCTTATATGCAAAATTCAACATTATCACTTACCAAGATTTTAATCCACTAAAACAGTATCATATGTAACATTTTACCCAGTAAGCACTAACTGTGGTAAGAGTCGTCGCCGTCACTTACCAGGTAAGACTCTCGATCATTTTCTTAGTTCTTACCGGGTAAGATTCTTGGTCACTGTCACCTACATCCAGTAACGTAATGTAACTTGGTAAGCGCTTACCAGGAGTAAGCGTTAGGTTAACGAGACTTAGGGACCGTTTATCAAACGCTTATCAAGTCACATTACCTTACCGAATGAGTATAGCAATGACCAAGAATCTTACCTGGTAAAAATGAGACAAGGACTGAGAGTTTTACTTGGCAAGCGAGGATGACCAGTTACCTGGTAAAGATAGTAATGCAATTTGCCCATTAACTTTAATTAATATATATTTATAATTAACATTAATAAATAACAATTAATATTAATCAAAGTTAGAATTGATAAATGTGTCAAAGAGCTGTTAAAAAGCTACTTCATCTAACGTTTCAATAAGCTAACTTACTTAGGTAAGTTATGTTTACCAAACAATGCTAAAAAGCATTCGAGGTACCAATGGAAGGAAGGATGCAAAAGAGATACCACAAGAAAAACATACATTACAAACCAAAGTTAAGGATATGAACTTATCTTTTAAATCATACGAGATTGAATGAAACAAACTCGATAAATCTCATATTTAGCATCTAAAAGAGGGTAAGAAAGGGTAATTCCCAAATTAACCGGATTATGTTAAAAAAGAGTGAAAAAATGACCAAGTCTTTTTCATATTTGCAAAAACAGACCATCCAAATTGCTAAAGAATTTCGTCATGGATGAAACGACACATGTCACGCTATGTCTTTGTTTGACAAAGATCCTCAATTTGGCAATTTGCATGGATTTTTAATATCTTTTTTAAGAAAGTGGACCCGCCACTTATATTAATGGGAAAATCACCAATGAGGAAATACTTTGATGATTTGGCTTGGTCATTTTTTCCGTTTGTTTATGTATTATGGCCATTTCAGGAATACCCTACAAAATGGCAAAAGTAAGCGTCTGAACGCCTATCCGGATAAGCCCTTATCAAATTACATTACCTTACCGTATGGATATGGTAAGGACCAAGAATCTTACCAGGTAAGAGGAGACAAGAATCAAAAGTCTTACCCGGTAAGTGAGAGCGACGACTCTTATCACAATAAGTGCTTACCGGGTAAATTGTTGCATACGATGCTGTTTTGGTGGATTAAAAACTTACCCGGTAAGTAAATGATAGTGTTAAATTTTACCCGTAAACGCTTACCGGATAAGTGTCTGGTAAACGGCTCCTAAATGTGTTCATTGGTTTTGATTTTTCGCTCAAACTCGGGGACATAAACTAATAACAAACATTAGGCATCAGGATTGATGAGTTGATACATAAAGTAATAATAATCAGTAGCCCCAATGCATTCTTTTGCCACTGGATTTAGTAGGTTGAAGATTACATTTTAACCAACGATTCAATCCGTTTAACAGGCAGAAGGTTTGGTTAATTTAGGTAACTATATACGTAATAATCGCATCTGGGGGATGCTCTACTTACAGAATACAACACCGCAGCACTAGTCCCTTCGGGTCCACCCTCCCCTCCTCGTTTCCTGGAACACAAACCAACCGAAGAAAGAAAAAACAAACAAAGAAAGTGGTTTAGATGACGATATAGAGGAAATTATAATTGGCAAAGAGTGGTCAACTCTAATTGAAAAATGTTTGAACATTCTATGGTCGTAGATACCAAACCAAACGAATCCAGTATATCCTACTCAAAAATAGGGTCCGGGAGGGGTAGGATGTATACGGACCATACCACAACCACTAAGATCGAGAGGTGGTTTCCATAAATACCCCCAGCTTGTGCACGAAGCAAAGGTGGGTGCAAGCAGGCAGTAAGAGAGGCAATGTAACAGGTAATTCATACGAATACACTATGACAAAGAAACAATGATGAGAGTCAAACAGTTAGGATGACGGGTTTTCTATTGTTCCCATTTTATGTTCCGTTTGCTTCATATAAATGGGGGCCGTCTTACGTTCGATGTATTTTAACTACTGAAATTTCACAAGATAGAATAAAAATCCTAACGACGACTATATGGAAGCATACTTCTTAAGCATGTAGATATTGTGTTTGAATTTCCTTTTCCTGCAACTATTATTTTGTGTGTTATTATAGATGATACTAACAAATGATGGTTTATACCAGAAATCAAGAATAAACAATGCACGCCACTTTATTTTTGGTGATACGAGAACACTTTTGTCTATGAAACCTGAATTAGTTCGATAGTCCACGGAATTGCTTGCATCAATAACGACAACCATCTGAATCTTGATGCTTTCCCTGGACATACCATGTGCACATTATATGCTTAAGATAGATAGGGTACATTAGAGCTTTATTGATGTCTACTTGGATGTGCATGTTTGTTATGCTAATAGACAAGAATGAGTTCTTGTTAACGTCAATTACACCATCTCCATTTCTTCGATTGGCATGCATTTTTTAGACTTCAGGTCAGGAACACATGAATTCCCACCGAGCATTAAGAATTGTGTTGTGTGGGAAAAGATACGACCTTCCCCACTCCAGCTGATCAAATTTAATCATTTTGCATTTGACAGCTAGTGGTTCTTGAAATTTTACCTTGTCCATGCCAAGTGTCATTTGCCGTTTCCATTTCTTTGTCTGGCAGATGCTTTTAATACTTAGGGTTTAGGGTTTTTTCATCGTCTTTTGGAACTTATAAACCGAAAAATGCTCATCAAGGTTTGTGAACTTACAGTGGCCATCATAAAGAACTGTGTTTTGTGGAAAATTTGGACTTTTCCTTCTCCAAGTGATCAAAGCTATGCAAAAACGCCATTCACATAAAGATATGTAATGCTGCAAACTCCTTGGGGTTGCAATGGCTTTGAAGATAGAAGAATGGAGAATGTCCAAATGACAACATATGGCTAAATGGTTGAAATTTAGGTTTGACTTTTGTCTCATTTGACTCTTGCTTCTTGTTCCAAACATTCACATAAAGATATGTAATGCTGCAAATTTAGGAATCTAGAACCACAGAAACTAGTTGGGTTTAAAAAGATTATTTCCAAAGAATTTACTATATTTTCTAATGACAGTAGACAAGAACCAAAAACAACACATAATGCTCATCAGGCATATATCTTGCATTTGCCTGGTTAAGTTACACTATGCATATAAGCTAATGCACACTAAAATAATTTTCAATTGGCCCCTTCATTTCTCTCATGAAATAAGGCATATAGAACTTAGAATCTAGACTGTAAATGGATTCACTGACTTTGTGCTAGTCGTTGACCACATTACCTCCATGAGCAAACTTGAAAGAAAAAGAAATAAGCATTTGATATCATGTAACTGGCAAAGAATATCCTCAGCATACTCTGAAGTTCATTTTTTCAAGGATATAAAACAAAACAGGGATGGAATATGAAAAAATTGACAAACCTTCAGGAGGCTGAGAGAGTTTTCTGTTTTGTGGAGAGGTCATTTCTTTCTTGAGTTGAGTTAATATGTCCTCCATTGTGTACTCTCTTTGCCAATCGGCAAGCATGGGGAAAAGAGACGGTTCAACCTGGCAAATTTGCACCACCATGAGATTATTTACGAGTACATAATGTCATATAGAAGGTTTATTGGGGAGTATAATACACACCACACCCGTCTCTTGATTCACACAGCTCATGTTTATTCTTGATTGGAATTTCACGCTCGGTGGTTCTTCTGGATACTCGTGGCCACAAAATAATTTCAGCTGATAGATGCGCCCTTCATGAACAGTCTGACATGCAACATCAACTAGATTAAATTAAATCGCAGACGCTAAACATGCATTTATGAGCATTAGCATCCTATCCCAGAATTTCGATAAAAGATGCATAATAAACAAAAGGACAAGAAATGAATTGTCTTGATACAAAATTGACACATTCAAAATCGACAGTAAGCTTGAGTGCCGCAACAGTAAGCAACATGAAATCAGCTGCCGTTGATATTAAAATTTTGAAAATATAGAGTCAGTTAACATAACCAAAAAAGAATTTAAGAAAACTAACATTAGAAGGACCAATGATAGTCCCCGTCCATGATTGCATGTACACATCATCCGCATCATCCATCCCATAACTGACAGTTCCATCACCAATTCCCTTTTCTCCCCTTTCAAGCTCTTCCAGTAATCTAAAGCTCCTGGGAACTAAAGTGAATACAAATTCGTGTTAAGCATCAAGACCAACACAACAATTTATATAAGATTGACCAGACAATTAGTATATTAAGTAACGAACTGATGTAGAAACTATCAGTATGGTAATCTGCAAGTCTGCATAATCACGCAAAGATTTAATTTACCATCCACCCCATGAATACGCAATTTGTAATGCAATAATAAATAAGAGACGTTCGGATATTTCTGAAGAGATGATAACAGTTGAGACTTGAGGGAAAAATTTGGAAGTGGCTTTTTTCAAACAGCCTACAGACGTAACCCAAAATGACGGAATACCATCTTTGAAAGAAAGACAACCCTATTTCCACATAATAAATAATAAAACACATGCAACAAAGTTGTACAAAATTCTTATTTTACAATACAATTTGTCATTAACATTTTGAATTTTCATGCCGAGTACATATTTATGTTTTATAACTAACATCCAGCATAGCTAATCATTGATTCCATTATTTTACATCAGAAAGATTATAAAAGTCCACAAGTTACCATCCACGATATGTGCAAGTAAAGAGTCAACCCTATCAAAGGGAAAGTTGGAAAAAACCATAGGGTACTCCGTACTTATTATCTATTTCGTTACACAAACTACTGATCACTACCACAAATCTGTATACTTCCATTGCAACACCACAATCTGAACTAGCAGACTGGTTCAATAACCACCAAACAACTAAAACCATGGTAGAAAGTTATTTGTAGCCCACTATCAAGGGCTTGTTAGGGGTAATCACAAAGGATGTGAAACGGGATGTCAGGAACCGAACTCCCCCACTCGAAGCCCTCATGCCTCCTTAAGACTTGAACAAAATGTCAAAAACCCAGAACATCATCCCCATAACATATAGGCCAAACCGAAAGGCAAACTACAAAATTAAGCCTAAGCATTGATACCATCCTGCCCAAAGTAGCAAACTAACCCAAGTGACCTCCAAACAACCAAAACACAAGTAGAAAGTTACTGCTGGCCCACTAGCAAGGGCTTGTAATGAAATCATAGTTCACAATGACAACAGATTTGAGACAGAAGGTTACATCTAGAAACAGGCAAACAGCTTTTTTAAAGCATTACTTCCTGTAGACGATGTAGTTACCAACAACCTTCAATTAGAAATGGATCCATGGACTGCTAAGCTTGGTAGTCTGTATCATGCATACCTCAAAAATAAATTAAGTTCATGGTGGGTATCACGTTCCTATATTTCCTAATAAGTAATAATAGAGGGCCAAAGCTCTTGCATATCTTTTAATTGGTTCTATATATATCAAATGTGTATGTTGCTTCTTACTACTTTCGGTTCTAATCTTCTACATAAAATCTTATGCCTCTTTCATTCTGTCACATCTTCAAATGCACTGTCTGCTTAATCTACCTAGGCTAAACTTTTCCCTTTGCCCTTCAAGATGTTGATCAAAGACATGATCTTTACTATACCACAAACCTCCTAATTACAAATGAAATCTCTCCCTTAATTATTCCCTTCCTCTCTAATAACGACACTCTGTGAAAAAAATAGCTCGCTTTGACTTTAGGGATTAAATGGAGTAAGAACCGAAATTGTGTACTCGATTAAATATCAGCTGAGAATTTGTGGGTATCAAATATAAAACATTAATACAATAGTGAATAGGATATTAAGATTAAAGTCAAAGAATAAGACGATGGTGATCAAAATGGAAGACTATGGCGCATATTGGGTGAATGTTTGGTGACTAAGTGCCATAGCCTTGCACGTGGTCTAAATCAAGACTTATAGCCTCAAGAATTTAGCAAAAAGTGAATTAAAACTAAGAATGAAATAAATGAAGAAGTGAGAAGATTGTGAGTTATGCTGGGGCGGAGAACAGAGAACAAAAGAAGAAAATCCAAGAGTTCAAGAAATTTGAGATAATACTAGGCTGATTCTTGATACTTTTACTTAAGTAATGTTAGAAATTTGGTAGTTATGTAGTACCTAATTCAGCTTGCCTGAGTTGGACTCATCCATTTGATATTTTACCAACTACGCATTCGTTCAAGTTGTTTTGGGAAATGAAGAGAAATTGAACCCAAATTCGGATGGTTTTCTTTTTCTATGAAAGGATTTGAGACTAGTTGATTAGGGATTTAATCTGCAAATATGACAAATTTGCTAGACTTGAGGAATAACTTCAGTTTGGTATGTCTACCCATTAAGGTTTTTTATGCTTTGATTATATGGTTTGATTTAAACTCATGTGTATGAATTTTAGTAGCAAGATATGATAATGAGTTCAGTATGGATATTAAAGTACATGCATAGCTTCTAGCTTACATCAAACATTTATTGGTCAATATAGTGATTCACTGAATTTGGGTTCGAAACAGTAATATGCCAAAGAGAGACGGATGCATACGATCTATGCTGTTAATTGCGGTGCTATAGCGGTTAGCGGTCCTACAGGAAATAGTGGTGAGAAATAGCGGTTACGCTAATAGCAGCGCCAATCACCACAATTGGGCCGCAATTTTGACTTGCAATAACGGTGTGAAAACCGCAATTAGGAGTTGGGCTTTAAGTTGGCCTTTTAAAGGGTTTAGAGAAGTCGATTAAGGGATTACGAGCTAGAGGGCCGATTTTCATTTAAAGCATGCTTTACAACCCAAAATATTATATTCTAGCAACTATTTATAAGTTTAGAATATTATACATCTACAAATGAGTTTACAAACTTCAAAAATAAAAACGTTCGATCTCAAGTCCGGTCCCTATTTGCAATATTGCTGTGCAACTCGCTATTCCTCTCTCATCTCTTATACTCCAGTCTATATTTTGCATCTTCTCTTCACAAAAACATTGTCTTCTAAGATTGATTGCTCATTTCTTCTATTCACCTGCTCTTATGTTCATCTTCAAAATATATATTATGTTATGCATCTATTCATACATTTATATATAACTGTAATGGTTACATGAACTGCTATATGTGGACCATTATACCACCACTTTACCATCGCGATAACCGCTATATCAGATCACGGTCCTGGCCGTTATTTCAAATTTTGACAGCTGTAACAGCATAGCATACGATTATGTTGCAGTTGCTAGTGTAACCCTACGCTCACACACAAGTACCAAAACAGGGGTTGATTTGATGAATATGGTCTTACAATCGAAGAGTACAACCATAAGTCTGTAACATGAAGATATTTTTGATTCCATAACATTACAGTATTACACCAAATCCTAAGTTTCTATTTCTTCAATGCAGTTCTTCAAGATACTTTATTAAATATTTTTGAAGAGTTACTAGAGATTTGAACAAAAAGAGAGAGATACCTAGTTATTCAAACAAGAGTTTGTATGAACAATTTGAATTACATTTTTATCAGAGGATTTAAAAAGTTAAGTAGAATCCTTTAGGGTCTCATTCCTTACCTGACAAGCTAGTTACAAACTGTGAGAAGATTCTAGGATACTAAATCTATATGGTAGGAAGATACTATTAGAGTTCAGGGGGCTGAATAGAACCAATCATACCTCGTGGGTTCATTTTACTATCTTAGAAGGTAATTGCATGTATTATTCATAAGATGAAGTTTTCTTGAAAACTCAAATTGGCAGAACGTGTGATCTTCCTAGACATAAAACTGGCAGAAGATGTGAACTCATATACATATCGAATTAGCAAAGATGTGAACTTTTGGGGCAAAAATCAAATTGGCAAAAGATGTGATTTCCTGGAAGACATATCGTATTGGCAGAAGATGTGATCTCCTTTGGAGACATTAGACATATAAAACTAGCAGAGACTGTGTATCCTTTGGACGTGTAAATGACAAGGGAAGGTTTTAATTATTTTTATTTATTGGGCCTCTAATGCGTACATTTGTAATACATCCATTTCAGGAGGCAACTTAGTTGTTGGCAGAAGAGTTTTGTTATGTCATTGCTGAGACATCAGCGCCAATTCTACTACAAAAATGGAATAAACACGAGTAGGTAAATAAAATATTAAGAGTCAAACTATGAAAGTTTTGAGATAGGAGTGTCATTACAGCAGGAGGAGCAATGAAATATCGGCTAGCATTGTTTGAATGATAAATGTAGGTGAAGTGAATCAAGCTTATGCTAAGAGCCTAAGAGGTATGGTTGTTTTATGGAGAAGTATATTTATCGGATGGTTATAAACTATTGAAAGAGGGATGATAAAAATGGCCTACTTCAAATTTTATATTAAATATGGACTCTCAACCATTCTGAGGAGAAATTGACAACTACTTTACAGTTTACCCATTTGGTTCCTATATATTTCAAGCGTTCTAGTTGCTTCTTACCACTTTTTGTTTTAGTCTTTTGCATAAAACCTCATGACTCTTTCATTTTTTCATACTTCCAATTTCATACTTAATGAAATTCCGTCTCTTCTTAATCTACAAAAGCTAAACATTTTCCCCTTGCTCTTCGGAATGTTGATCAAAAGACATGATCTTTACTATACCCCAAACTTTTAATTACAAAAGAAATTACTTTTTCCAACTCCTCCATTTCCCTCTAATGCTGCTCCATTCCAGAAAAGAAAAGAAAAGAGCTACATCCTGACTTTAGGGATCAAATGGGCTATTTTGAAAGTTCAAAACTAACGGGTACTCCAACCATTCCAAAGGGTAAGCTTTCACCTTTAGAATATATATGCTAGTGTTAGAAGTGGTAACAAATCCATATCGACTTCTGGTTACTTACAAGAACATTCTTAAATAAAATGAATTTCAAAAATATCTGTCTGAGCTTTTAGACCATGGTACTTGACTTTTCATTGTAATCAAAACATGAAAATTACACCTTGAAGAATGAGTGATATTTGAAAAAACTACCAGATACGATGGCTTTTGGTGCATTTACCGGTTCACAATTTGTCAAAATTGCTCATTCGTGGAAAATATTGTGTTCTTTTAGCTTTTTCACAACCAATTAGTTTGCAACAAAAAGCAAGTACGATTGTCTAAAAATCCAATCACTCATTTCATAAAGAGCACTCTAAATACCCCCTACAACCTAGCAACAACACTCATACACTAACAAATAGAATTTGAATCCACCAAATATCCCCAATAATCTTATGAATCTACAGCAATATACTTTAGTACTAACCCTATCATTCACTAATTTAACAAATCCAAACGAATTCAAGAACCTAAAATCTTAAAAAGCCCAAGTTAAAAGCAAATAAATCGGGTGATGTCAAATAACAAACATAATCAAATCGGAAAGCAATGAATTACGAATTTGCATAATCACGACTGAAGATTACGACTAATTAGAATCATACCGATAACTTTTGATCCCTCCAAGCTCATCTCTTGCTGCATTCGATGGCACTCCCCTAGGGTTTCGGTCTCCCGCTAAACACTGCAGTCTATCAAAGACTGGTCGTAGAAGCTCTCTGACAAATGTCTCCACAACGGTTTTCATTTGTCGACCGAAAAGTTTTTTGTCTTTGCGCACAAGCCAAGGTACAACTTTTTATGCATGTTATACGGTTCTTTGAAGCGTGATGGTTTGACAGAAGTTAAAAAGGGGATTGGTAATAGTGATTCTTAGTGTGTAGTCCCTAGACTTTGGGTATTTTTCAATTTTGTCCCTAGTCTTTGGTATTGCCAATTTCAGTCCTTACAACTTTGTTCTTCATGAAGTAGTAAATACAAAGTAGATCTTGTTGCAAATGATAATATAACATGGGATTGATTATTTGAAACAACTTATACTTTTCTACAAAAGCATTAATCTACTTATTATAAGTCAGAATGGTTTAACTTATTCAAAAATTCATTATTACCGGCTTGACACCGATAAGTTGTTTATCCAAACACTCAAGAGTGCTTATTACCGATGTCACACCGGAATAAGTCAATAAATTGTTTTTATAAGCAACCTCAAACACCCCCGTAGTTAACATAAGATCACAGATTGCTTTTTTTTCCTTTTGTATGATATAAAAATTAAAATCAGTTTATAGATTAAATTTCATCCTTCTTTATTGACTTTTTAGCTCTACTATTGGTATATGAGTCACTTTGAGTCTTTCAGATGGATATGAGGAGTTGGAGAGTAGAACCGAAATGGATACGAGCATGATTACTGTTGAGCTGAATCATTTTTAAGGCTTTGAATATAGCGTGCACATGATAACTGAAAATACTACTTCCTCACGTTCCAAAATATATAACGTTTAATATTTGTGAATCAGAACAGTTTCACCAATATCTTGCAATATCTGTTGATGTGCAAATGAATATATCTCCAAATGAAACTCTCCGTAAATTAAATCTTTAAGAAATTTAGACCGTCAATGAGTTTTATTGGACTTGCCCAGGTGGAATTACATTGTTACAGTAAATAATTCAATGGAATATAATATGATAGGATCGTATTTGCATTACTACAAAACAATACGATAAATCTTTAAGGAAGCAATCGAATATCATCTAATACTTTACTCCATTTGGATCATCAATTGTGCTTAAAAGTGTCGAGTTATTTGGTGGTATGATTCATTAAAACACTCATAGATGTGTCTGCACAACCAATCATAGTGTTAGGAAGTGAAGTCTAATACCTAATTTTTTCTACAAATGAGTTCTGGTGTCGAGAAGCAATATTTAATTATGGAGATTCCACTACATAGTTCATTAAGACGCCAATATAGACATTTAAAGATCTCTATAAGGATTCAATCATGTTATCATATGAAACGATTCATTAAGACACTAAAAACAACTTACGTATTATATAAAAGCTTTCTCATAGGGTTTACGTAACACCCCTAACCCTGACCAAGTTGCAAAAGAAAGTCGAAGCAGGGGCTATGTGCTTAGTCATGAAAACTTGGGGGGCTATAAACAGATGTCGGAAAAACGTGTCCAAAAGAATGTGGGATAGAGTAAACCAGGACAATTGAATATTATTATATGTTACTGTTTCAAACCATTTTAGCATGTTAAACGATTTATAGCAGGGTTTCAAGTGTTCATGCACGAAAATTGAGATCTCATGTGAATCTGGTTATGGGTCTATTTTGCGAGCATGTTGTCTATGTAAAGGAACATCCTGATATGTACGTAAGAATGACAAATCATAAACTCGTTGAACATTTAAGCTTACAGGTGACATGCATTTTAGGAGCAGAAAAATCGTATGCTGACAATGGAAAATGAGAACTGTAATCTAGACTTAAGTTGTTCCATTTGAATGAACGTTAAGTATATTGTTGCTTTACACTTAAAAGTTTTGTCAGAGTGAGTTTTATATTTTGTTATGTTGTAAATGAGATTCATTACGTATCTTATTAATTTGTGACGTTATTTATTTGAAAATTGCCTTTTAGAAATCAAGAGATACGACATATATCCTCAAGGGAAAGTCGGGACGTGACAATGTATAATATAACTCAGTAAAAGAACGTAATATATCTGTAAACTGTAAATATAAAGCCAGGGTATTCATGAAGTAAATTTGATCGTGTAGACCATATGATATGGTTATCAATACACCTCTTAATAAGTTTTTACATACAATAAATTATAGTTATACAAACTCTATGATACGATTTCGAAGCATTTTCATATACATTATTGTCGATTTCAAGACTAATTAAAATGTGGACGTGTTCATGATTCATGAAGATACACAAAATATATGTTGATAAAAGCTAAGATTTTCATTAAAAATCAAAACTTACGGGGTGTTTTGGATTGCTTATAAAAACAACTTTTATTGACTTATTTCGATGTGGCACCGATAATAAGCACTTTTGAGTGTTTGGATAAACAACTTATACCGGTGCCAAACCAGTAATAAGGAGTTTTTGAAAAAGTTAAACCCTTCTGACTTATAATAAGTTGATAAAGTGCTTTTGTAGAAAATCATAAGTTGTTTCAAATAAGCAATCTCAAACACCTTTTTTTTGGTGCTATAGTGATGATCAGTTATACCGTACAATTAACTTCAAAAGACATTTAAAATTCAAGTTGAATAGATAGAACGTAACAGCGATATCTTTAGATATACAAGTCCAGTTTATCAAACAACTCACAGTTGTACGTCAGTCCAAGAAGCATCTGAAGTTTATTAAAAATCCAACATGGTTCCCAACATCCGACAGTTATATTTTTTCAGATACAGATATATTTGGACGGTTTTGGTAAAAAGTTTGGTAAGGTTATGCCCTTTGCCAACTTTTGGCAAAAAAAACGATACCATGGGTGTCTTCTGGTGCTTACAATGATGGTGGTGGTCAGCCGTACAACATCCAAAATAACGAATCTTTGGTTGCAACATTTTAAGCATCTTAACGTATAAACCTAAGTTTTCCAAAAACGTGATTTTATCGAAAGTAAAATTTTTTGAAAACTCCTTATTACATGTTTGACACCGGTATAAGTTGTATATTCAAACATTCAAAAGTGCTTATTACCGATATCAAACTGGAATAAGTCATTAAGTTGTTTTTATAAGCAATCCCAAACATCTCCTAAATATCTAGAATTAATTTGTTTGACTTGATGTATATATTTAAAAAAATAAATAATGGATCATAAATAGAAAATCAATAATAATATTTATAATATTTAATGCTAATTAATTAGTTTCACTAAACGAGATTAGGTTAATCTTGATCTCACACATGTCTTTGAGACCCGATCCCGTCAAAGCGGGTTCCGCTCATCATCATCACCTTGAATTCATCAAAGTTGATCATGCCGTCGCCGTCACGGTCGACGCCGGAGATCATTTTCCGACACTCCGCGATCGAGCATTCCTCTCCCAAACTCCCTAAAACGTTATGCAACTCCTCCACGGAGATCGACCCGTTCTTGTCGATATCGAAAACAGAGAACGCGTCCTTCAGATTCTCCAAAACCTCCGCCGAATCGATATCCTTCGTGTTCAACTCGATGAACTCCTTCAAATCTATGAACCCATCCCCGTCGGCATCCACCTCCTTGATCATGTCCTCTAACTCCTGCTCGGTCGGCCGGTGGCCCACGCTTCCCATTATCGATCCCAACTCCGACGACGAGATCTTCCCGTCCCCGTTCACATCAAACTTCTTGAACACTTGTTCCAACTCCTCCTCCATCCGCACACGAGAGTTGAAGGAGCTCGTGCGCGACACCACCCGCGACACATTCGTCGTCGGAACGTTGTCGTTGTGGCTGCCATCGTCCTTGCCGCTTTTCTTTTTCCGGTTGAACAAATTCTTCAATCCCATGATGCCAAATGGTCACAGAAATTCCAAAAGGAATCAAAGCGATTGATATGAAAAAACCCAATTTAATCGGCACTTTTTAGGTACCATAATTCCTGCAGAATCAAGGGTGTGTGCACCACTAAATCCAAACAAACCTATTTTATGCCAAACAAACCTAACAATGTGTTTATAAAACAAACACACGACACATCCTGGCCGTTCATTCCATCATATTTAATGGACTTCATTGACTTACTATATTTAGATTTTAAAATGTAATCTAAAATATTTATAATATAATAATATATGTAATAATTATTAATAAATGTTCATTTAATTTTGAAAATGTATTATTTTAATGTTTTTTTAAGTGAGGGGCTGTTTGACAATTGCTAAATGGTTTGATGTAGAATGATTAAGAGTCTCTTATGATATAGTGTAAAATAGAATATAATTGTTCGGTAGTTGTTTACAATGGAATTAGGATGCTGAATGGTTAAGGGAGACCCATGATACAAAATCGTTCAGAGGGTTTTAGAGTCATTAAAAGGCAGACTTTTTTTTGCCAAACAAGATTCACCTCTTAACGATTCAGAGGTTGTCTTTTAATGAAACTATTAAGAGGTAAACAAACAACCCCTGAATTTTATTCATACATCTTTTTATAGGTGGTACGGGACTGAGATAAGAGATGGGGGCAAGAACTGGGTATATGTGAATACTGAGATATGAATAACAACCTTTTTTAGATTTAAAATATAATAAATGTTTAGAAACAAAATAAAATATTTACTTCGGGGCTGTTTACCAAATTCTTATCCGGGTAAGTGCTTATCAGGTAAATTATTGCATACGATGTCGTTTTTGTGGACCAAAATTTTACTCAATAAGTAAATAGTATTGTCAAATTTTATCGATAAACACTTATCGGGTAAATGTTTGGTAAACAACCCCTTAGTTCTTTATCCAACATGACGACGATCTTACTATACTTTTTTTTTTGTTTTTATTAACCTGAGTCTTCAACGTTTGATCAACTGTGTGTTCAAGATATTCATTGTTGTATTCACATGTAAATACATATTATTTTCGTGTTTTAAGGTTAAAAAAACACAATAACATCTGTTGCTTGAGTTTGCTAACATACCTAAGCATATTCATAGGTATTAGAAGGATACATGTACAATGCAGTGAGATACATATCGATTTTAACCTTTTTTTTTTGTATCAGTTGATGTTATAATACGAATTTATGTGGTTTTGACAAAATGATAATATTTTTATTTTCGAATAAAATATATCATAAAAAGGTGAAAAAAATATTGATATTAGTACCAAACTAACTATTTAATTTTTTTTTGTGTATTTCTTTAATTCATTTTTTTTGTTTAATAATATAATTTTTTTATAAAGATAATAATTAAGTATTTTGTTAGAACTAAATGGTTGGTTGTCCTAATTATATTTTAGATCTTTTATAGTTAAAATGAGATGTTTATTCTTTATTTGATTATATTTATCTGTAATTAGTTACAGGAATTTAAACCTGAAGCTTTAATAAGTTGTATTTACGCATAATTTACTTGTAATCTTAAATTTTAAATAATATGCATCAATAAATAATATTCCATAAATAAAAATAATTTTTAAAAGTTTTTATCAAATGTTATATAATATAATACAAATAAATGTGAAACATATCCACGAGTATTATTCACATAATAAGTTATTTAAATATTTTTATAATTCTATAACAAAAATTAAAGCCCGAAATAAATAGAATGCTAATTTCTAAAGTCAAATTAATTAAAAAAATAATAAAATTGATATGTAACGGTTTGACTGTACGATCAGTCATTTAAAAAATATTGTTTAATAAAAAAGCACTTTGTAAAGTGAGCTACTTTTTAAAGCTAAATATTGAATATTTTTTGATTTAAATATATTATTATAATATCACACCAAAAAGGTATTCGTATAATTTAACGAGATAAATCTTCATTTCAATGTTTAGTTTTTATTATTTATCTTTATCGATATAATACAATTTTATGTGGTTTTAAGAAAACGGTAATGTTTTTATTCTGAATGAAATATAAATTTGAAGATAACATAAAATTTTGGAAAAAAAATCGATATTAGTATCAAATTAACTATAATAGTTTCGTTTTTTTGGTATAACTTCTTTAATTCAACTTTTTATTGTAATTTAATTTAGATTTAATAAAAAAATAATTTATTTTTGGTTTAATAATATATTTTTTTATAGAAATAATAATTTAACATTCTGTTAAAACTCAATGATTATCTTAATTATATTTTAGGTTTTCTATATCGAAAATCAATGTTTATCTTATATCTGATTATGTTTATCTGCAGTTAGTTATACGAATTTAAAGATGTAGCTTTAATAAGTTGTACTTACGCAAAATTACTTGTAATCTTGAATTTTAAGTAATATGCGTCAATAAATAGTACTTCATGCATAAAAAATAATTTTTAAGAATTTTTGTCAAATGATTTATAATATAGTATAGATATACTATAAAACTATTTTTAATACTTACACTTTATACTCTTATATTTATTTATTTAATATATTTTATATTTCATACTTTTTCGTTTTACACTCTTATCTTATTAATATACATAATCATATGTTAACTAAACTATATTTAAAAAATACTTTAAAAAAATTATATTGTACAATCATCTTGTTAATACATTCAAAATAAGTCTGATATTAAATATTTTTTTATTTAATTATATTATTTAATATTATAAATATATAAAATTTTATCTTTACATCATCCTCGTAAATATATTGATTTGATAGATCGATAACATCATAAATGTTTTTTTATTTTGTAAGATAATGAAGAATTAAAAATTTTAAAAATTAGTACACTTTTAAAAAAAATAGTAATGATGAATATTATCTCTTAATTGTTTTAAAGATAAAAATATTATAAAATTTGGTAATAAAAATTTGAGTTCCACTAAAAGCATCTCCAACAGCTATGTTATAATTTTTTTATAATAGAGTATGAAAAATTAAAAAATATCTAGAAAAATTTACATCCAACTCCAACAGCTACTTTATTTTAGCAATTCTAACATTAATTATATTAACAAAATATTCAATATATTTAATAAAATATTATTTTTCTCTTCTATACATTTTACTTCAGTAGCTTTAATTGGTTGAATATAATTAAAATATTATTTTATCTCTTTTCTATAGAGTTTTAGATGACGTTTGTTTTTACGGGTTGATATTCCTACCCCATTCATCTCCTCACGTCACCCTCACTCACCCCCTCCGCATGAACCTAATTTTTAAAATTTTAATTTTAAATTTATACTTTATACTTCTATAATTAATTAATTTATTTATTTTACATTTATTTTTTTTAAAATTTTCATTTTACACCATTTATCAAATTAACATACATAATTGTATATCAATTAAAATACGTTTTTTTTAACAAGTTACACCATTATAATTATCTCGTCAAATAACTTCGAAATGAACTCAATATTGAATAGTTTTTGACTTAATTATATTATTATATATTATATATATATTATGAAAAAATATTTTTAAAATTAACATTTTATACTCTTATAGTTATTTATTTAATTTATGGTATATTTGGTTTTTCAATTTTTGTTTTTACACCATTATCACATTAAAATACATAATTTTATATTAAGATCTAACAACAAAATTAACCTATCAGGAAGCATTTTCATACCCTTTATTCATCTTGCATACTCATTTTTTAATTCTAAAATTATACTTCATATTCTGTAGTTACTTAATTAATTTATTTTTATAGTTTTGTTTTTTCTATTTTTTAATACCCTTATCACATTAAGATACATTAAAAAAATACGTTCTAATTTTAACAAGTCATATCATTATAATCGTCTTGTCAATACCTTCAAAATAAATCCAATATTGAATATTTTTTGATTTAATTATATTATTATATCATATATTACTATGAAAAAATATTTTTAACACTTATGCTTTATACTCTTGTAGTTAATTATGTAATTTATGGTATGTCCCTTTGTTTTTCATTTTTCATTCACACCATTATCACATTAACATACATAATTGTATATTAATTTCAAAATATGTTTTTATTTTGACAAGTTATATCATTATAAATTGTCTCGTCAATACCTTCAAAATTAGCCCAATACTGCATATTTTTTATTTTAATTATATTATTATATGTTATATATTACAAAAGAATATTTTTATCACTTAGACTTCTACCATTATATTTATTTAATTTTTGAATACATCCCTTACTTTTTCATTTTTCGTTTTACACTTTTATCATATAACATACATAATCGTATATTAAACTAAAATACGTTAAAGAATATATATTTTTATTTTAACAAGTTACACTATTATAATCGTCTCGTCAATACCTTCAAAATAATTCTAATATTGAATTTTTTTTGTATTTAATTATATGACCATAATAATATAAATATAACGAGGATATAAAATAAAAAGTAAAAAAAGGAAGAAAACAAAGAAACTTAATAATATTTATAAGGGTATAAAATGTATATCGAAAAAAAATTATATACAAATAG